GCCTGTTTGCCTGAGAACGCCCGCGTTGCATCATCAGTGGTGCCTTCTTGTCCAGGCTGTACACCGTTTGCGCGATGCGATCTTGTCGATTGGCTCGTCTCTGCCCTGTGAAGAGTCTGCCCCTCCTGTACCGGCGCTGGGTCAGGTGGAGGCTTGCCGCCAAGAGAAGTGTCGGCCAATATGACTGGCCAGAACCCTTTCTCTTCGGTAAAGGCGGGGATGTCGGTTGTTGTAGAGGTAGTGCCTTTTATTAATATAGTTTGAATGTTGTCGCGCGCGGTCCCGAAACGCCTTGAGATCCAAAAGATGTGGCTTTTGCTATAAGTTTGGCGTCGTCAAATCAAATTCTGTTAGATTTCACCATTTGAATGGTTCTTGCACTTTAACTTCATCGTACTCAGCAGTACACAATAAAAGTTCCACTTCATCACGAGTGAACCCGTGTTCAATATCCATCTGTATGAAACTTCCAATCGGCTTCATCGATCACATCTTTTGCCCGTTTTTGTCTGAGCGTTAGAACGATGTAGAGTATTACTTGATGATACGGGTCCAATTCAAGGACATTTGATGAGTCCTCCCATTTCCGTACCAATATGCTATTTCAGCGATTCCGAAACCTTCTTCGCCTTTTGCATTAGTGTTGCTGTTGTCGTCTTGGATGTGTCAGTGAGTACGGTTGTCATTTGGTTCAAAAAATCAAAATATAGCTGCGAGGGTTCCGCTGAAGTAGTTGGAAAATGTGACAACTCGACATGATTTTTCAATGGTTCGGTCGACCAGGAGGATAGATGAAACTCTAGAATCGGCTGTTCATGGAATTGCATCCTCTCTTCGTCATCAACCACTTCTTCTTTTGCTCCTGAATCTTGCGTTCTCAGTTCGCGGTCAGTTGCATCCTGCTCATTGTTTTGGAGGGTTTGAGCCGTGGTTGACAGCGCTGCCAAGACATCGAAAAGTAAAATCATAACAGCAAAAAGATGCAGCATGAAGGAGAAAGCTGGTACGCGCATAGGGCTCGAAAAAGAACTTGTTGTAGAATGACGTTGCTAAAACGATTGAGCGAAATCAGAATTAATGGTTTCAACAAATGGATACGATGAATGCAGTCCACGAATTCTGCTGTCTAATTTATGTATTCTAAACGACTTTTATATTGGCGTAAATGCCATTTTATAGGCCAAGAAAAAATTGCAAATTGTGCAGGTCGAAAATTGGCTTGTAACGTTATTTCATGCCGCTATGATACTGTGTATTCCAAGATTGCTTAGTCCCAATCCTGACATTTTTTAATTATAAGAAATTTAATAAAATTGTGATAGCTACAAATCATTTTTACGTATTTGACGCAGAAAGCGTTAGATGTATGGTAAAACCTGAAGTGAAAAGTTTATAATGATCATATTTCTCTCTCGCCCTATCTTTCTATATACTTACATAAATACTTTGCCGCAATAATATACAATCTGGTCAGTAAGCATTAAACACGTTAAATACCCCACAGTGAGTCTTCAACATCGTGTAATTAAAATCATGTTCTTTGGACGGAGTCTAAACTCTCAACATGAAAGTGGAGCCATCACGCGTTGATCACTAGGCTAATCTGACTTTGTCTTCTGCATGGACAAAATGTAATACTTTTGTATGTAAAATGAACATAGACGCAACATCGTTCTTAAGCAATATTGAGCGGCGTATTCTCAACACTTCCAATCGTTATTGATGCTTGTTGATCCTTGGCATTGGGTTGGTCTTGATACCCGCTGCCTCACGTTTCGTATGCCTTCGTCAGCATATTAGCAATCTGACCCTTCGTGCCGATCTTCATATTTTTTCTTGCACGTTCTTGTGTAGCATATGTTCACGTGCTTCATCCAAGCATATGGAACCGGCGATTTCAGCTAATACGATCGCCCTCCCATGTTATTAAGCATTGCAGGCGTCCAAAATAACTTCTTGAGTGCAAAGGCTGAGAGCCATACACTCAATCTGAGAGCAACGGTCCGCAGGTACGTTAGTTGTAGACCAATGGCGCGCGTGCAATTATTACCGTAATTCTTGAGACCAGATATCTTACGACGTGATTTTTTTATTTCGGGACTATTGATATAATTGTTAGAAACCTTGATAGGTGGCGAAAAGATTTGGGACATCTGTCTCTCACGAACTACACGCCAGTACATTCGGTTATCTTTTTCCGGTGAGTCCGTAATTCGTCCTACAGATGCAGGCTTTATATTTGGATGGACAGCTTGATTAGGTACAGACTCATCATCTGGCTCAAGTGCTTGGTCGATAATTCACCATTTGGTGGTAGAATCGGCGGAGTACATGATGATTGTTGGACTTTAACGAAAGCTGATTGTCGTTATTTAATTGAAAACTTCTGGTACCACATCGATTGAATAGCTGGCGGGAATGTCACATTCAGTCCTTCATTGATAAGCAAACATGGTCCACATGCATAGCTAAAAAAGCAATTCTCTCTTTAGTACTATATCACATTGCCCTCGACCCCTCTGAGGCTCGATATAACTCATTTTCATTAAAAGCCACCTTTGCGCCTTCTCAGACTCGACATCTTTCACAGATTTGTCGGCTAGCTCGTTCTAGGAGCTCGACCCTTCAAATCTCTCAGGTGAAAGGAAGGTAGACACGCGGAGGCTGAATGAGCTTTTTATGACCTACCACATGCGAGTATTAGGGAGTAGCCAAGAGATCATCGTTTTATACTCAGCCAAAATAAGATCAATATATCTAGCATTCCTAACAATTCGCATTTTAGCGAATCTTGCTGATATGCTTTAAATCTAATGTGATTTTTACTTTTCTGAAAATGTCTAGGTGCGGGTTACACAGTATCCTACACGTATGAAAGCCTTGATATGCGGTGAAAAGATCTGTCTCTCATGAGCCCCACGCCAGGATATTTGTTTTTCTTATCTTAAAATATTCAGAATACCTACAGGCAGGTTCAAGCTTAATTCTTGAATGTACATCTAATCTGGCTCAAATGCTCAGTCAATATCAATATTCTTCCATTTGGTGGTATGATTAACGGAGTGCATGGAATGTAACGCGGTCTGTTTTCATTCAGCCCCTTGTCATGAATAGGAATTAGTACACTTAAACTGTAGCTGATTGGTTAACGGAATTTCTAGAGCATGCATTGAGTGTAACTCAATTCAGTTTATAGCGTCATTCAAAATGGTCAAGCGAGTTATTTGAGAAATGCGGAAGCGGTATAAGCACCAGCATAATTACACGTAAAGCCTCCGGACTTGGTTTAAGATGAAATTTCGTAGCTAGTATACGATATGTTACCGCTTCTAAGTCCTTGCATTCCATATTACACGGATATTTTACGAAAAAGCTCAGATACTATTATCGTTAATATCCTATGCAGTACACTAACATCATAGTAATCTAAACTTAAGAGTTGTGTAACAGTATGAACCTGTCCTATAGACCAAGTTACCTTCAGCATCGTCCACCCATCTGCGAAATGTAAAGCAAAAGAGGTTAGTGATTTAGACGCAAAACGGCCCTTCCGAGGTTGTCATAGAGCGTCATAAGTTGTTCCACTTCTTCCGTACGATCGATACATCGTGCAAGGATGTTTTCCACCTTGACCCGTTCGTAGCCGGCTTTGATCCACATGTCGAAAAGAACTTCCCAGTCGCCGTTCTTCGAGGTCGCTAGACCAACGCTGAGCGTTTCTTTGTGGAGTTCCTTTATCAATTCTTTGCATGCTACCAAGTTGGCAGAACGGATATCCCTTTGACCATAATCATTGATGTATAAGGTCTGGAAACCTAAAAGTGTCATGGTCTCCGATTTTAACACGTAGTTGTCGTATAATTGCATATACCGAATCTTGTCAGGTTCTGTGAACCCAGCAAATTTCAATATATATAATACCTCATCACGAGTAAACCCGTATCGAATCCATCCGAAGATATGCAACTTCCGAGTGGCTTCATCGATCGCATTATTTTTGAAGAAATGACTGGTGTAGAGTATTACTTGAGTATAGGGATCCACCTGTTCCCAATTCTTAGCAGTATTCGAACCGAAACTCTGCTTCACCATTGCCATAAGTGCTGGTTTTGTCGCTGGGTCTGGGCTACCCGCTTGTCTCACGAAATCAAAATAAAGTTTGCTATCAATCATGAACTGGGGAGTGACCGCTGTAGGAAACAGTGGCAACTCGACAGGAGCTCTTAATGATGTGGACGGTAGATGAAACTCCATCCTTTCTTCGTCACCAATCACTTTTTGTTCTTCACGTGAACCTTGCGCTCTCAGCTGGGGATCAGTTGCATCTCGCTGATTGTTTTGGAGTGTTGGAGTCGTGATGGGGAGCGCTGCCAAGATATCGACGAGTAGTATCATGGCAGCGATAACTTGCAGGATGAAGGAAAAAGCTGGTTCGCGCATAGTGTTCGAGACGAAACTTATTGTAGAATGAAGTTGTTAGAAGGATTGAGCGAGATTAGAATGAATGGTTATCACGTGGTTCAACAAATCGATACGATGTTTGTAGTCCACGAATTCTGCAGTCTTCTCTATGTCCTTTTTTATTTGCGTAAATACGTCAAAACGTAAAAAATCTTCCTGCAAATGCGGATCGAACATTGGCTTATAGTAATAAGTACGATTTTATTTGGTATTTCATATACTGTATTCACTGATGCTTAGTCCCAATCCTGAGATTTTCTTAATTCATAAGAAATTAATAATTGTGATAGCTACAAATCGTTTTTTACGTATTTTTTACGCAAAAAACGCTAAGTCTTGCCCCATTGTGGAATTATGCTATATCACATCTTGATATAATATATTGTCCTGTTTAATCTAATCTAATCTGCCCAGTTTCGACCAACACACAGACATTGCAACAGCAACACCGCCCACCCGACACCAGGAGTGTAGCGAATTATACTCTTAAGCATAACTCGAATGCGATCATAGCGCAGTGCTAGAAATATCCAATCGACTTCAGATCAATGATTGCAAATCAAAAGCATGTGCTCTTGTGGGTTAAATTGTGGCACTTCATCACCAGTGATTATTACTTTGACGCCTCCAAGCAGCTCTTGACAACCTCTTAACATGTCAAACAATTAATTTATAACGACATCGTGACGACAGCGGCGAGCCAAGAGGATGTGACTCCACTTTACAAACTGTCACCGGCCATAGCAAAAAAGTGGTATCTAAGAAAGCGATGAGAACAAACAACAGTGCGTAGCTGGAACCAATCACGAGTCCGTAATACATCCAAGGAGATTTAAAGAGTAATACTTGCATGCACAGCTCAATTGGTCATGTACTCATCCTCCCGCTCAAGTGTTCGGTCAATATCTGCTATAATTGGAATTGTCGGATGTACACATCGACTCAAAAAAGCTGATCTAAATTGATATGCTTTAAATTGTATTAATGGAATTTCAAGAACAGGCGTTGAGTCTACATAGTGACTCAATTCAGTTTTTGGCGTCACTGAAATTGGTTATGTTATGCGCGACGGAATAAGTGAGCGACATAAGGAATGTGATAGCGACATAAGCACTAGCATACTCTGTAAGACCTCAGTACATGCGAACGAGCTGTGCGTCCAACTATTGTATCGGCAACATTGGGATGGCACCAAAGGCAAAGCTGTTGACGATACACAAAACAGCTTCAAGGACGCCAATGGTCCAGCGACGTTTTGTCGTGTCTTCTTCGTCACTAGACGGAAAGTACGATGTGCGCTCGATAGACGTAAGCAAAGTGCTTACAAAGATTTTTTAAAATGGCGTTGAATGAGAGTGCGAGATCGACGACGCCTCCTTCCGAGCCTTCTTAAATAATTTCGGTGACGGGTACAAGTACTGCAAGGGCCCTGACACCAACAATATTCCGATAAAACCCGTTAAAAGTATGTAAATGGCTGAGATGTAACACAAGAATGAAATCACGAAAGCAGCAATAATTAATTGAGGTACTATTGTGGGTGTCACAGCAAAGACTTTTTACCGCGGATCTCCATATCCACAGCAAAACTGCAAGTGTCATGACAAAGTCGTTTAAGCTGTAACTTGACAATAGTGATGCGCTTTCAGCTGAGCTTGTCTTTTGTCTGAGTGCATTCCACGCCATTGGAAAGGCAAAATTAAGGCAAAATTAAGTCAAAAGTCAAAACTCGCAATCACAACCAGAATTTTCCTTACGTCTTTTTGCGTCGTTGGTTTCCCGTAACTTTCACATTTGCATCTCAAACTTTCTTTTTGACACGCCAGCAATTCATCAAGTCATGCGATTACATTCAGACAGTGACATCAAAGGTGACAAGATACGCACACCTTTGGAGCTTCTTAACGATAGTTTGAATCACAAACGCCAGCAGTCTAGCCGAAAATTGTCCAGCCACTTGCGCTTATAAATGCTTGTCCTAGAACACGCCTCGTCTTTCGAGACTCTCCTGTTGCGACAAAGTTACAACTGCAGTGTGTACAGAACTATATCTACCATGGAGTCAAAGCTCACACCACCCATAGTTGCCAACCAGAGCTCCTTCGAGAACCTCCGTGAAGACCAATGAATGCTGGACACAACAGACTGAACGTCATGCTTGAAAACATGTAGGACTTGTGTTTCGAGCCTCAAAGCGGCACCGCGTCAGCGTAAAGTCCAACAACAAAAATGTCATTGCAGCAGGCACCTCTACGAGTCGATCCATTGCCTCGGTCTGGCTCCCACTCAGATGCAACTTGCTGCTTACCATGGTCAACAAGCCGTAGCGAACGCCAATGAACACAAATGCCGATGTGAACGTTGCAGCCACGAGACCCACGGCGGAGGAACAGAAGCGCACGAGTCGTCTGAACGTTAGTCACCTTATATATCATGGTTGTAGAAGGAAG